TGGGAAAACCATACAAAGAAACAACAACAAAAAATAGCATATTAAAAACAACAACACAAAGAAAAACCTCTTGTGTCCATATCTTGGGGTTCTCCTCAGTAGACTAATGGATCAAGAAAATATGGTTTATGCATGTAATGGAATTCTATGCTTTCATCAGTAAGAATGACACTGCCCCATTTGTTAGGAAATGGAAAGACTTAGAAAACAATCATATTAAGTGATGTAAGCCAGACCCAAAGAAATACATGCCCCATTTTTTCTTTTATTTGCAATAATTTGTATACATCTAGGATAATCTTATCAGATGAGCAGAAAGCCCAGAAACTATGTACATATGACCATATAATACTAAATGAAATGAACTCCAATGTTCAACAATTTGTTCTATTTTTCTATAATCATCAAAAGTAACTTAAGTATTAATCAATTAAAATAGAAGTTACTTAAATTATGATTTTTACTATTGTACAATTGTGTTTATTTCATTTATGGTCACAAAAGAGTACTTGGTATATCTTTGGTTCCAGAAAAGCTTGGGGCTCTACTCAGATTGTTGCAGTAGAAAAAAAAAAAAAGCAAGTAAAAGTGCAGTGTTTATCTTTCTATATCCTTATGTAGCACTTTTAAACATGAAGTCAACAGTCTTAACTGCAATAATAATGTTTATTAAATTAAACTCAGTTTAACTATCCATTCTGTCCAGGACATACTAAGTTCCTTTGAGCTCAAATATCATTTGTATTGTTGGTATATGACAAAAAGAAACAGTATTTTTTTTTTCAGTTGATGTTTAATGCTATTTCATGCCAGAGAAAAGTTTTCCTAGAAGGCAAGCTTTTTGTGTTAATATCATTCTTGGCTCAGTTTATTTTTTCAGGTAAGTGTCAGGAGATGAGCCACAGCCTCAAGCTCATTGTAATAACTACTGCACAAGCTCAGCTTCATTGAGGTTCCGCGCTGGTTGTCCTCCAGATGTTCAATGTGATCTCCCCACTGAAGGTTGTGACAAAACCCCAGAGAGTAAAATGATGGCAATCTGTCAACCAGTCATCATTATATATTTTTTTCATTTTCCATTATTTTCCACCTTATGTCACTGTTTTTAGTGTGCAAATTGCTCATTGTTTATTTCTGCACAATTCTTCCATGAGTGTTTTTATTTTTCATGACATTAAACTGCTGAAAAGATTCTTCAGAGCAAAACTACACTTTTCTTCAAGGAGGAGAAAGACAAGGAGGGCGCATCCATTAGTCTGAGAGATCCAGAGGTGCAGCGAGCTCTGCGATCAGCAGCAGGAAATGTGATGGATGCCCTGATTTACATTTTAATCCCATCAGATTGTTGCTGAAAATTATGATAGAGTAGTTATTTATCCACTAAAATTCTCACAATTTAATTAGAAAAGGTTGAATTTCCATCATCCTGCAAGCAACCAGAATTTGGATTTAGTACTTAAAAATATGAAAGGTTAAGTGATAGTCCCTTTTGCTGTTGTTGTTGCTTTCTTCTTGTGCAGGTCTCCTTTATGCAAATCTAATGCCATAAAAGCAAAATTTTAAAACTAAAATTAAATGGCATATAAATTAACAATTAGAGGGCCAACAAAGCATGACTGTATCAAAGCCCTTGGCCTCATAGATGAGATATCTTAGCACATAAATAACATAAATAAAATTGTGACAATGAATATGTCTGAGATAGAAATGATATGACTGTGGAAAACAGAAGAAACAATTTACATTCAGCAAGAGTAGATTTTTTAAAAATAAATAACAATATTATATCTGGACAAAGAACTAAGAAATTCATTTTTCTATATACATGTATTAAAAAGAATGTTCTATGAACCAAGGAAAATATGACATAAAGTAACGAAGAAAATGGATATTGGCCTGATAAAATAAGATACCGAGAATTTAGTACAATGGTAGGAGATAAAGGTGAGAATTTAGTGAAAGACAAATTGTGAAAAACTTCAAATGTGGAGTTAACTTTTCTGAAATGTATCTAATAGGAGTTTCAACTCCTCTCTCCCCCTCTTAACTCTTCATCGTTTTTCCTTGTTTATGAGTGAGCACCATAACATATTGAACTTGAATCTCATTTGGTTCATTGTCTGAATAGAAAATTAATATGAAAATAGAACATACATTTGGTGTAGTAGCCCTTGAATAATGGCTTCCTACTCAGTTCAGTTATGTTTTCATGCATCTCTGAACCTTACATTCCCCCAGGTTATAAAGTATTGAAGGGAACAATACCCACAAGATTCATAGCATGACAGAAAGTTTTATTCTTTGTCACAGTTATTACTCTACTGAGAGTGTCCATCAGACAGCAAAAGATGCATCTGACTTCATATATTCAGGACTTAGGAAAAAGTAGAAGATTGAATAAAAAGATGCTATTTTTTGATTAGTTAATAACATTCCACATGGCATTTATGAATCCAATTTCCTGTTTCTGAGTCATCAAACATGATGAGTAACTTTCAGAATTCTATTGGTTAGTAGATTTTTCAAAGATTAGGACAGTGTTAGCTGAAATATTTTTTTGATATTTTTGCAGGCTTCTGAGACCCTAGTACTTCGTAGTAATATAGCTAAGGCAACTTTTCTAATTTAGCTTCTATGTGTACATCAGAAATAAATTGCCTTTTTCTCCCATTTCTAATTAATATGAGCAAATTCAAAGTGAGGTTTGTCTAACCCTAAGACAAAAGCCTAACACTTAAATTAATTAATGCATTTGACTCTGCTTATTCAGTCCTATATTAGGTAGGGACCAAAAAAAGTTATCAACAAGGCTATTAAGTCTGTATTTATATCTATACAAGTGTCAGTAATCAAATAAGTAAATCTAAACTTAATTCTCACTAATTCCCCAAATATAGAGATTAGATGGAATGTAAATGATATGATTTGGGGGCTTTCTTGAGGAAATATGGGATAATTTTTTTCAAATCAATCAAATATGTTACATGAAAACAAGTCTCTATTTTCCTTTTGATGTGAAAACTGAAAAGATTTGTATACTCTTACTCATTTGATGAAATCAGTCATTCCTGTTTGATTAGCACTCAACTTTAAATATATTCCTGCAATTAAGTGAAAAAAATTTACTAATGAATAGTGTTTCTTTTAAGAGCAAAGTTTCAAATTTTATTGTACTGAAACAGCTACATACAGATAAGCGAAGAATCGTAACAGATGTTTCATGTAAGAAAACATGAAAATCCCATATAAATTCAACAAAACTTATAAATCTATAAAGTTTCACATAAACATCTAGTTTTTATTTTCATCTGATAAAAGAAGTGTTTTCACATATAAAACTAATATATACATATATGTAATCTTCCTCTTGTAGATGTCTCATAGGAACTGGCTGAAAGTAGAAAGTTGTCTTTTCTCTGTTAGTCCTTTAAGGCTCTACAAACAGCAGAGCTATTCTGCTATTTCTACAGAGGGAAATGGCAATTTGAATGTAAATGTAAATTGAGTATGCCAAGAAATTCTTCTGCTTACTCATACACAACAGACAAGGCTAGAGGGGGCATTGTAGTGTTAAAAATTGGCAACATAAATTTAAGCCTGTGATATTATTATCTGAGATTTTATAAATAAGGACATCAGACATCCCGAAAAGCAAAATGAGACATAGTTAGTGAGCTCATTCCTTTAGCTCCTTTGGTTTGCTTGTTTTATTTTTTTCTGAAATTGCCCATTGTTACTCTGTGATTATATTATCAATATTATCTACCAAGACAAATGACACAAAGCAAGATAAGTGTGTAGTTTTAAGAAAGCAGGACTCTATTTTTAAAAGACATTAAAATAAGAACGACACAAAGAATCAATAGGTTCCAGCCCATGAGACGGAGACCTGACTTTTGATTTAGACTACCTACTAGTAGATCTCCAGTGAAAGATGTTTCCTTTTATCCCCGGAGATACATTTAACCATGAAAATCAGGTTAAGTTAATTCCATTTCATGATCATCCTCAGAAAGGACACAATGTGTTCTTCTTATTGTGGTACTCCTCACATTCATTCGCATGCATTAACCTTCATGGTATTTGTTGAGTTATTCGACTCTTTGTATAGCATGAATAATTTCATTAAACATTAAGAATTTACCCACACTGTATCTTTGTGTATTTTTAAATATTTACAATTTGTAATACTGAATAAATATGTAATAGATGGGTCAGGGTTTCTAGAATTTAATATTGCTTAAACCTGTCATGTTTTATAACCTTTTGGGGCTTATATAATATTCAGCTCCTTAATTCGGCGTCAGAGCTGTTATCATATGTTGATGGGAAAATAACAGCCATGTTGGGGCTCTCCAGCCACTAATAATTCCTATTTTGATTTGATTAGCATATAAATGTTCCTAGATTTATGCAGTGTCAGGGGAAAATGTATTAAAAATACTCCTCAGGGTTCTCTCTTTCTTTCATTTTAATCAGGCAAGAGGGAAAGAATCTTGTCATGCATGAAGTCTAACTTCCTTTTCCTTCAAATCCTTGACTTGCAAAAACTTTCACAGACACACAAAAATTGGCAAAAGATGACATCACACAAGTCTTTCTTTATAGTTTGTGAGCATGGATCATTGATGAAATAGATCTTTCCTTGTTTGTCTATTCTGGGAAGGATACATTGGGGTGACCACGTAGATATAGACTCAACTCCTAAAGTAATTTCAGTAGATCCCTGGGTAGAGCAGGTAACAAATAACACAATATTTTCTTAGAGTATTCCTTAATAATTATGGCCCAGTTAACTCAAATTCTAAAATGAATTCCTCGATTTTTTTCTCTAGTACACTGAAAACTCAAATGCCCCTATTTTGCCTATAAGAATGCTTCTCTTAGAGGCACTGTAGCTCAAGTGGTAGAGCGCTCGCCTTGAGCGGAAGAGCTGAGGGACAGCACCCAGGCCCAGAGTTCAAGCCCCACAACAGACAAAAAAAAAAAACTATAAAAAGTGGTCATTTCAAAGAGGGCTTGTTGGGTTTCCAAACCAAGAGCTCTTAACGCTGTGACCGAAGATAGAAGTTCTCCATAGGATGCGATAGTCACTCAATAGTAGTGCTATGTTTTCCAGAGGAGATATACTGTAATAAAAAAAAAAAAGAATGCTTCTCTTTTGTGTTATCATTAAAAAAATTGTTACATATGTAATCATACATAGCACCTAAATTTTACAGTATTTATTGTACTGCAAAACATAAATAAACTTGGAAAGGAAGAATTAATTTTAATAAGGTTTATGGGTTAGCATTATGTTCTATTACATCAAAACAATGGATCTAGGTAATATACCGATAGTTCAAGTGAGCAACATACTTCTCAGCTCTGACTGTCCAAACAGGACTTGCAAAATAGGAATGTACCCAAAATTCATATAATGTGAATCTTCATGAAATGTAAGTTAATATCTACCTAGGGAGGATCAGTCATCTCTAAACAAGTATGGTATATTGTATTTTAAAAACCTAGATTAAACTAAAGTAAGAAGCAGAAAAAAAAATCAAGGATGGAAATTAAATCTAAAGCTTAGAAAGATGGTTTAGTGAAATAAAATAGAAGTTATATTTAGAAAAAAACAGATATTACTATGTCAAGTTTATGCAGTACATTTATATTAATCTTCCTGCTTATTTTTACATTGTTGTGTGTTTACATCTTGTCTTTCTGATTACTGATGATAATTATATTCTCATTTTGTTTATTGTTTCCTTTTTTGGTGGTGCTGGGAACTGACTCAGTGGTCATGCTTGCTCTGTAACCACTTTGCCTTTTGAGCCATGCCCTACTCCCCAAATAACATTGTTTCTTCACGTCTTTCTAAGATCATGTTTGGAAAACTGAATAATTTATAATGCCAAACCTTTCTACTCTTATGTTTAAGGATTTTTTTAATGCTGTTCTACATTCAAATAAATATTTACTATTTGACTTCATGCAGAATTGTCTTGTATTGACTTCTTTTTTTGGTATTTATATTATCTATTCTTTAAAAAGTTTAGTTCCTCCTATTGAAAGACTCTTGTATATAAGTTTATCTGGTTTGGGGATGGGAAGGAGAATTACAAAAATGGTGAGATAAAGGACAAAGGGTGAATACAAGACACTATGTTGGAAATGAACTTTATGACTTGGGGGGAGGGGAGTCGGGGGGAGGGAAAGCAGGAGAAAATGAGAGAGGCATAACAATTTTCAACCAAAATTATATTCATTTCATTATTTATGTAACTGTAAGTCCTCTGTAGACCATCTTTGCAATAAAACTTTAAAAAGTAAGACTCACCATCTACTCCCACGTAATTCTTAAGCATACCATTTAAAAATATGATTTTAACTAATAGAATATTCTGACGACTGCAAATGAGTATTTGGGTGTTATTCCCACTTTTTTTTCTTTGTAATTAAAAACCTGCACAGTTACTACCATATGAATCATTTGCAATCTGCCTTTTTAAGTGTAAGCTGAGGCTAAAGCTTTATCTTACAATTTGCTGCTCTACAAGATGTCATGATTACTTTGTCTCAAGGTCCCTGTCATTTACATTTAGACTTATTTTTTGTCACTTACATTAGACTTATTTTACACTTACTTCTTCAACTTTACTTCACTCCACCTCATACATAATGACAGCTACACTCATAGAAATCCTACAATTTCTTTGCCTTTCTTGAAGACAAAATTGTCACCTAGTATATAATGAGTAACCAAGATGTATCACCAAGTTGTATACTTGGCAGACATCTTGCAAATATTTACTACATAGAATTATGATGATGCTTATGGTATAATTTTAATAAACAAGAAGACATTTAATTGATTGAAATATTGTAGGAATTAGTTAATCTATGTGCAGCAAAATGATGTATATTTAGCAGAGACTATTTGCAAGATTACATCAAAACAAAGATTAGAAAATGAAAAAGAAATTTCTGTTAAAAAAGTCAGAAAATAATCGAGCCAAAATAGATTATCAGCATAGTAACAAGGAGATACCATTTTTTTCTAAAAACACAGAATGTGCACACTTTTAATTGCATTAATAATAATGAATATCAAATACAAGGCAATATATATGGGCAGTGAAGGTCATGAATACAAGGGTCTGATGCTCAAATAACAGAGGTACAAGTCCCATGGTTACAGCAGTCAGGCTCCCTAAGCCTAAAAGATGGTTGATTCCAGATAGAAAAGAGTTTCAATAATTTTTCTCAATACTTGGTAGCAACCTATGATATACAATCTTAGAGCTATTTTCCTCTGATAGAATTCAGTAAAGGGGATTAGAAGTTGTTGCTATTAAATGACTATCAATGCAAGTACTACTGGCAAAATGCCCCCAAAACAAATCCTCCAAAAAACAACTGCACCATTAATAAGTGCACTAAAGACTTAAAGAGAGACTTCACAGAAGAGGAAATAAGAATGTTCAATAGACACTTGAAGAAATGCTCACCCATCTCTGGCCACAAAAGAAATGAAAATCAAAACAACATTGAAACTCCACCTCACCCACTTAGAATGGCGATAAACAAGAACTCTAATAACAACAGATGCTGCAGGTGATATGGTCAAAAGGGAACTGTACTACATTGTTGGTGGGAGTGTAAACTTGCTCAACTACTCTGGAAAGCAGATGGAGGTTCCTCAAAAGACATGGCATTCCCCTATATCCCAGGAATCTCATGTCTGGGCAGTTTACTTAAATGACCACAAACAAGGCCATCAGCTACCAGCACAACCTTGGTTATTGTAGCATTATGTACTATAGCTACGGAACCAACCCAGATGCCCCTCAGTAGATGAACGAATCAAGAAAATGTGGTATATATACACACAATGGAATTCTATGTATCCATCAGAAAAAATGACATTGCCCCATACTTGGATGGAAAGGGAAACACTTGGAAAAAATCATATTAGGGGAAGTAAGCCAGACTGAAAGAAACATAGACCTATGGTTTCCCTCATTTGTAATAATTAGTATAAGTTAGGATAGTCCTAGAAGATGATAGGAATAGCTCAGTAGGTATGTACATTATGACCATATAAGATAATGCTAAGCAAAATAAACTCCAAGATATGCAAACAAGAGGTTTTTCTTTGTTGTTGTTGTTTTAAATGTACTATGTGATTTCTTTTTTTCTTTTGTGTTTTTCCCTATAGTTTATCCCATGTTGTTGCAAATGTGGTTTGATTTTGGTACCCTGGGTATTATATATATGATTATCTGAATCAGGGAAGGGACAGGGAACAACAAAATTGTGAAACATAGGACAAAGGGCAAACCAATGCAACAATCATACTCACGAGAAAGTACGTTGGAAACGAACTGTACAACTTGGGAGGGGGACTGGGAGAGGAGGTAAGTGGGAGAAAAATGAGGGAGGGGGTATAAAGTTCGACAAGAAATGTATTCACTATCTTACATCTGTAATTGTAACCTCTCTGTGCATCACCTTGACAATACAATTAAATTTTTAAAAACTTTCTCAATTTTTCCTGTATCTATTTTTAAACTCAGAAGAAGTTTGATGAATACAGTCGTGATATTCAATGTATATTTGTTGAAATAAAACAAGGAAACTTGAGGGGATGCCTAGGGTTTGAAGATATAGGTAGAATGTATAAAAATAGTGACATTGGTCAAAATTCATTGTACTTATAAACTAACATGTTAATTAATTTCCTTATACAACTACTTAAAAATCATATTAAAATAAACATAAAATTGTATGGCAACACATTTTCAAACTCAGTTCAGATCACTTGCTCTGCTAACAGATTGAATAATAAGAGAGTTGTCTTTGTGTGTTTTGGGAGGGTAGTTAATTGGAGATGAGTCTCAAAGACTTTCTTGCCTGGGCTGGCTTTGAACCATGATCCTCAGACTTCAGAGTTCTGAGTAGCTAGAATTACAGGTGTAGCACACTGGTACCATGGACATTGACATATTTTTGAAGGATTGCTAATGCTCACATATAGCAACCAAATGATATCTGAAGATTGACAATACTTTGAAAGGGAAACCTAACAGACAATCTTATAACCAAGAAAAGAAAATAAAACAACAGCTATCCAACTATTTGAAATGAGAAACAGTAAGCATGAGAAGTGTCAAATATAGAAAGTAGTGAGAAAATGTCAAACCTATATCAGCAACAAGTAATTAAATAAAGAAATCAGTTGTTTGTTTTAAAATTTAAAGCTGATATTGTTGATATTAAAAAGAAAATGAACACATCCCTTGATGGGTTAAAGAGCACAACCAACATCAATGAATACATTGAATGTAACAGGAATGGCAAAATAAAGGTAGAAAGAGAATCAGTTCAGGCATTTTGTTTGAATATGAAATGTTCTCTACAAGTTCATGTATTGGACACTTGCTTTTCTATTGATGAAGCTATTTTGAGTGGTGCAACATATTTTGGGATGTAGAGACTAGTTGGAATAGGTAGATCAATGCAGGGAGGGAAAAACTGTGAATGTTATACTTGGTCCTTCTCAGTTCCTCTCCTTAGATTCTGCTTCCTATCTTCCATGAATGAAGAAGTTCCTCCACTCCACTTTTTTTTCTTTTTCAAGTGAGTACATGAGAGATTCCTCATGATTTTATTTTTTGGTATATATTTTTTATTACAGACACTATACAGAGGGGTTACAGTTACACGAGTAAGGTGATGAGTACATTTCCTGTCAAGCATTGCTACCCCCTCCTTTGTTTTTCCCCTGTCAGCCCTTCCTTCTCCACCTCCCTGACTCCTCACCCCCCCCCTCAAAGCTGTAAAGTTTGTTTTCAACATAATGTCTCATAAATCTCATTGTTACAATGGGTCAACCTGTATCCTTACTTCAGCATTTTGTTATTTCCCATCCCCTCCCCAAATTAGAAAAAAAAAATGTATAAACAAGATGCAGGGCAACAGAATCAGTGAAAACGAGGGTTATAGCATAGGGGAAGAATATACAAAAGAAACAAAAAAATCACACTGTACATTATAAATACATTAAAAACAAAAAGTGGTTTTTCTTTCTTGCTGTTGTTTTAATGTATTTATAATGTACACTTCTTTATTCCTGATTTTATGC